CTGCCCGTTTTAAAAAAGTACGTCCACTGTAAAAGCTTTGACCGCTAAAAGGGAGAGGTAAGCGGCGAAAACTATCACCCAGTATATCGATTTGACTAAAACTTATAGAAATAATACGCCATAATAGTCCAAATCAATATGCCAAATTTTAATGCAAATGGGTTATGAAGTTATTAGTTAAATCAGTTTTATTTTTGACAACTTTGAAGGCCTGTAACTCAAAAACCAAAAACTTTTTATTCAACTTGTTTTTCGTAGATCGTATTTATTTATCGTCGTGACTATACAGTCAAACGTTGTCGGTGAAATTTGTGGACACCCTGTATAGTACATACCTAGTACAAATAATGGAGTACGTGATACTCTGAAAATAACGTTTCTTACGGTAGAGGTAGACCCATCAAACCTTATATCAGTATAATCTGGATTTCTTGTATGTAAGATATTTATCTGTTTCTTAATCGAAATTTGCAGTTATTTTAATGTTTGACGTGTATAAATCAGTAAAAAAATTCATATTCCTTTGATGATTTTGCACATTTTGTTTCTCCAATAACAACCAAGTTAACAATAGTGGTGATAAATCCTACTTTCAAATCATACAATTGAAATCATGTTCTCATAGATTTTAAATGAAACCATTCATAATATATTTTTTGTCAAGTGTACCATATCCCTCCTGTAATATTATTCATTTATATGTCAAAATTTCAGTAACACTATAATGATTCTAAAATGGCATTATCATGGAAGAACTAAAAACTAAGTTTTAAAAATATAAATAAGAGGAAAAGATAATAAGATAAGAGAGAGAAATAATTTAATTTATTAATTTATTTAATAATTAAAATATTTCGAGATTTTAAACGCTGGCCTGAAAAGATTTTATCTGTATTTAAATTTTTATACCATAGGTTTGATTTAAATGTAGTTGAAGTGTATAAAACATAAAACACAAAATATATTTCAGGAAAAACATATACAAAACTGATGGGAAAACTATTCATAATTTATCATTCAATAACCATACAATAATGGAGTGACACAAATTATTTAGATTCCATGTCATTTGATATAATGCAATAGAATATTAAATATTTTGTCAATTTTTTTTAGAGAGAGAGAAAGAGAGACGTTTTTCGATAAATAAAAAAGTTGCTATATTTTTATGGATCTCAGCAAAAAAATGCTATTATTTTCAAACAGAGGCATAAAAACTCATCAGCAATGGCAATTAATGGTAGGTCCATCTATTATATAGAAAATAATGAAGAAATTTATGGTTGTCACACTCTTTAACGTTCATTCTTTGAAGGGAGAATAGAAAGAAAACCAGAGATGAAGTACACCATAAATAAATTCCAATTACTTATTATTAATATCCCATAAAACCATGTTATCTGTCGTGTTAACAGTAAGTCCATATATTCAACAGCTTGTATATGTGTACACTTTGTAATCTTGCAATTATGTGCTTGTTTTAAGATATTAAGCTTAAGAATGATAATAGTAATAATAATAATACGTATAATGTTCCATAATAGTTTGTAAATTATTTATTTCGATTTTCTCGTATCAGACGGAGTATAGCGAGAAATTTTGACTACTCAAAAAATTTGATATCAGTATAAGAATGGAATTCACACTTTTAGCTTATTGCTACCGGTGATTAAGAACAGAATGACTAACTTTCTTTAAAAGAAGAGTTATCGACTTAAAAATTGAAATGATTTCTGTCTCTTTTTAAACCCGTATTATTAAAGATCACAATTATTAAGACTAATTAACAAAACCGGATTGTATTATATCATACAGTCTAAAATAGATGTTCCATGTGTATTATTATTATTTTATAAATAAGTTGTCAGTAGGTTATTCAAAAAATACTCGAAATTATTATTTTTTTAATCTAGTCAATTATTTCAGAACGAACCAAATTTCTGTATAAAAATAACGAATATTTTTTTTCATATCATTGAAAATCTATTATATAGATGACTGTGAAACAAAAATGATTTTACTAGGAACATGGAATATTATTTCGTTAAGAGAACAACGTCAAATTAATACAACCGCTCTAAAAAAAAACGAAAAATTTTAAAAAGATAGGAAGAGAAAGAGAACACTGTGCAATTTTATATTATTTTCTTTATTGTGTTGCCAAATCTGAAGAAACTAAAAAAAATTGCGACAGAACAGAAAATGAATAAGAAAGACGAAATAACTGAACAAAAATATACGTAGTGATTCAAATTCGGATTGAAATAGTAGGATCAACGTACTTGTTTCGCTCTCGGTTTTGCATTAATGTCATATTTAGATATGGAAAAATAGATATAAAAAAAAAATTAAAATTTTAAACAAGAGGCTAAAATTTAACATTTTATGAATTTGGTTTAAGATAGAGATGATATATCAATATGTTAAAGCAGCTGCGATTTTTGTGAGAATATATTGATACCCAATACATGTGGTTTATTCCTTCAGGCACTTAATAAAAATTGGAGTAAATGTGAATGCCTAGCCGAAATTAGTTTCGCATCCGAACTTAAAACAACATTAAGTAAGCTCTGGTTTGTAAGACTTACAAACTCAGAGCTTACTTAATCTTGTTATAGCTCAATATAAACAAAATTGTGCACAACATCCTTCCTATAGTACACCTACGTCGCGTCGTTTGGTATATCATAGCAGACTAAGATGGTGTTGGTAGTGAATCCACAGGTGTCGGGATTCCACCCACGTTAATCGTGTTCTGGACAGAAGAACAACGATGTAAACACAAAGTGACATAAGACATTATGAGCATTTGCCAACGAACTGACTTAATGTCTCGTTTTGGAGGATTTATTTCGGCACTTATCATTTTTTGCATGTTCCCTGTCTCACATAATAAAAATATTGAGGCGGATTATTATCTTTTGGTAATTTATAAATGTATAAAATTATTTTACCTGGAATTTTATCTTTAAAAGGGGAAGATATCCGTTTTGGTGCAAATAATTGTTAAATTAAGTTTTCATTATCTTTTTGATAATTAATCAGGCAACTTTACTACTACTGGAAGAAAATTCTCTCTATATATGTAATTTCATTATAACAATGGCGTAGGTAAAATCAACACTGTTCGCTCCAGGAAAACATGAACTATTATTTTTGCATTGCTCTTGTTACTGTACTTTAATTTGATGTAATCACGCTTATTTCTACTGATTATTATACTACAGTACTATACTATGTAGGATAGCAATTACTGTCATTGCACTCAAACTAATCAATCAATCTGATATACGCATTTTGGTCTATTTAGAAAGCGCTTAATGAAACAGTTTTCTGAATCCGTCATAACTTGAACAAGTTCTTTTTTGAATTTTTTTGTTCTAAAAGCCTTGATAAACTGAATTCTAAAACAAGCTTTATATTTTCCAATTTCTGATAAAATAATTTGACAAAGAAATTGACCAAATTATACATGCAATACAGAGATTGCGGTTTGTTTTGCAATTTTAAGTCCAAAATTAGTAAATGGTTTATATCCACTTGTCTCAGGATGCAGGATATTATTTTGAAAAATATAACATTTATTTATGAACGTATTTGTGAAAATGTGCTACTTTACAAAAACTTGAAAGCCCTGCAAGTCTAATGAGATCTATACAGGGTGTGGCATTTATAGTGAACAAAATTAGTGTACCTACATTTTCCCAATAATATCTGTACCTAATAAGAAAAAATTTATATCGAAAAGTTGTAACTTTTATGAAGAAACTTAAGATTCAATTATGAAACGGCCTTGAATAAAATTGTAGTGACTCGACTTACGTGAGTATCGTCTGCAGAATAGATGAATTTCACAGATCAGTGATAACAGGAGGCGAAGAGTATCTTCGTCGACTTATCAAACGAAATAACATTTTTTTTAACAAAGATGAATTTTTTAAGTGTAATTCTGTATCTATAAAATTTATTTAAATAGTGATCAAACATAATCTTATTTATTAATATTTTTACATATCTAAAATATAGTGTCTTGAAACACGAACATACATAAAACAATAATAATTGTGAAAACCTACCCCATGTCATTGCAAAAACCTGTCTAAAGCTGTATTAAAACTAGCAAATGTAAATTAGCCCAATAGTGGATATAGTATTAATCCTCTTAATATGTAAACACCATTGTAAACAAACACAGTGTAAATACAACTAAAAATTAATAAATTTCCGGGTACCAAACTTGACTTAAGAAACTACCATAAGTTTTGTACATGTGCTGATAAAAGCAAAATTAATCACGTGACTGAACTGACCCAATAAGAATTCATGTTTGTCCCAAAGATGCAAGAAGCCGATGCTCTTTACTTACGCGCGCTGGTTATTCACACAGGAGTTATTGTTTGAGTCATTTTTCTAACCTCATAATTATACTACAATAATTATACAGTTTTACTTCATCTATGGCTAGGAATGTAAATTTTTAATTTTATTCAAGCTGGTTATTCGGTGTAGAGTCAGTGCTATTACAGAAACAAACACACACACACGCACACACTCACTATACACGCTATACATGAATTTTAACGTCCACTGTCAAAAGTTACAGTATGTACTTGATTTATAAACAGGTACCTACCGGGTATCTCTCCATTCTTTACAAAGCTTTAGCTAATAGATGTCGGCAGACAATATAATCGGACAAGTTTATATTGTGTAGAAACAAAAAAAATACTTCTCACGTTCAAATACCATTTTATGCATTTGTTATCGAGTTTCAATAGAGACTGATATTGTCTATTCAAATGTCTACTCTATTTGTGTATCGATTTCAATTTTTCAATTTTGCAGATATTGTCTAATTATTGACAACATCCGTATTTAAGCACACCAAAAAATGTATATAGGATGCTTTTTGAAGTCCTATTGGACTACTCTTTTATAGGCACACTTCTAGTAATTAGAACCATAGCTACACCTTGTTTCAACTAAGTAGATTAACTTACCCACTATGACTACATGACCAAAAGACGACGGATTTTCGATCCCCGTACAATTCCATCTGTGATGTCTAAATTGATATCGGCATTCATTGGTTGCCAATCGTATCCCATCCCCAACGGCTACCATGGCATCCGGTGATGTCCTGCACATCTCTCTTTGGCGACTAGTAAGTCCAGGTATGAGTGAACAAAACGCGGTCTCTAAACTCACACCATATACTATCCTAAAGAAAAACTCAATATTAATTCATAACAAACGCTTAAATTATTATAAATTATTCATAACTAATTCACAATTCAATTATAGTCATTGTATTAATAAATGACAGGAAACGTGAACTTTCTAAAAAGGTAAATAATCATTTTTTAAATTAATCTGAATTAGTTTAACTCTAAAATAAATATAAAGTTTTGTGAATTTCAAACGTTTACATACATTTTAACCACGGGTATAATTTTTTATGTAAATATACCCAATGAAGGAAATTTTTCAGATATGTGCTAATTTTTTTATTAGTTTCGCATATTCAGGAAAATGCCACTGAATATTGTTATTTTTAATGGAACTGTATATTTTTAAGACATTCATTTTTTTCTATTACGCGTGTAAGAAAATGATAAACAGAGTATTATTATTTTTGTCGTCCTTACTCCATTGTAAGGACGACATCTAAATCTAAATCTAAAATGTCTAATTTGCATTCTCTTAACTTTTTTTATATAAATATTTTTTGTTTCTTAAAATTTAAATATTTGGTACGAATTACGAATAAAACAGTAAAATCAAGATAAATACACTTAATAAAATACAGGGTGTTAAAAAATTCCGTTATTTGGATATGCAATTATACCAATAAAAATTACAATAAAAATTTACATATAAGAAAATATTTCCTAAAATGCTTCTTAAGAATACAATAGCTATTCCAAAGATACTAAATAAAACTTATCTTTGGAAAAAAATTTAAACAGTCCTAGGGCTTAGGGGACAATTATTTATGAAATATGTTTATATAAACTTGTTCCCTTATTTTTATAGGCAGAATTGCTCCTCCAAATATTACAATTGAATTTTTGAGTACAAAATCTTTAGAAGGAAATTTTGTTTTTGATGTTATAAAATCTGTATTAGGTTTGTCAACAGAATGGGGAACATCAAATAAATGAGCAAGTAATATATATTATAATCAAATACATATAGATGTGTCAAGTACGAAGTCTCCAGCTCAAACCGTTTTAAAATTATCTGAAAAAAATATTATTTCCCCGTACCACAATGAAAAATCACTATATCTCATTACACGTTGACTTTTGTAGATAGGTAAGGTAGCCTAAACTGTCTTATTTTGACCCCGGAAATATAAGGTAGCACATGCATTTCAACGTATAGCAAGGAAATGTTATTTAACTTTCATCTTCTTGTTTAGTTCTGTGTAACAACGACAACACTATACAATTCAGAACAGACTCATGTGTATGAGTCGGACTGGCCTCAACATATATATATTTTTTAATTTTGGCAAATGTCATACTATCGAAAGCAAATTATTATTTTCTAATTCTCTGAATTTTGATCAATTTTCAATCAATTTTTGATATAATAGTAAAAACAATCAGTATAACGACAGCAGAATTGAAAAAGCTTGCCATTTAATTTTTTGGTTTTCATTTTAATTCCGATATTTTCCAGAATTAAAACTAATTGAAACACCCTGTATTCCTGAATTTTTAGAATTAAATAGAATTGGCTTAATACTTTTAAAGTTACATAGAGGTATAAGAGGTAATAATAAAAAAATGTTAACAAAATGAATGCCTAATAACATTTTTTTACCTTTTTGGAATTTAAACAAATTTCTGTCAAATTATTTATTTTTACTAAAGTGAATGTGTTTTTCTGACTGAATTTTGTCAGTCAAATAATTTTTTTAGATACAACGAAAGAGCACAATTAAAAATTCATTGAACTTGAGAATTTTATAGATGACACTGTATACATATAGATGGAACGAAGCTGAATCCTGAGCATATAAAACTGATAAGAATTTACATGTACCACAGTGGCGACAATAAAATTTCCATCAATAAAATGCTGGTAATAAAACTGAATGTAACTTTAATTTAAGTGCCGATTTTACTGTTATGCTTTATTAAGAAAAATACTTTTCTTCATTCCAAGTGAGTAGGTGGTTTTAATGGCAGAAATATAAATAAGATAATCAGCAGTCTTTAAGGAGTCGGCCTTATTAGTAACAGATATCTCATGTCAATTAATGCGTGCTTGCTACCAAGTGCACAAAGAGGAATAATAAAAGCTTCAACTGATATTCTTGTTTTGTATTAAACCGTAAGTCTTTGCGGAATGGCATCTCTATGCTGGGAAAATCACTTTTGTGTGGAGTTCATGCCCAGCCCGCTTCTACTTGTTACCATGCAGATACATTTTTAACCCATTAGCGGCCAAAGGTGCGTAAGCACACCCTTTTATTTTAATTTTTTTTAGATCATCCGTAAAATTTTATGCTTTCCTACCTACAGAATCTTATATCAACGATCCAGAGAGTGTATTAGTATTTTTATTTAATTAAAAATAATATTGTTTTAATATTATTTTTTTTAAAGAAAATACGATATTTAAAACTTTAGAACACATTTTCAAACAAATATTGTTCTAAGTTAGTAAAAATCAGCAGAGTACTTTTTTTTGAGCCAGGCGTAAACAAAAGATCTATTTTGATACTCATGTAGTTTTTTTTACATATGTTTTCAAAACGATGGTCATAATGATACATATATGTAGTGGATGCGTATGCGTACCTTTGGCCGATAACGATTGACATATTTATTCACTCCTATGCAAGTCTGGATAAATCTTGGCATATAAAATACAGGACTTGTCAGAACATATATCAATTCATCATTAGCAGAGTGTACTTCTTGGTTTTCCTTTGTGTAAAAAAGTGTAGTTTTGTATAAAATATTGTTTGAACTAAAGTTTTTTGTAATGCATAATAGTTATTTTTTTGGATACATCTAGTGCCAATATAAGGTAAGAGATTTTTGAGTTGTATAGAAGCTATAGAGGTATAATTTTGTTTATATTATTGCAGTCATTTGTCAAAATAGAAAATGAAAAGGGCACTAATCACTAAAGAGTTACTTGCTTTGTTAGAAGAGGATTCAGATTGTGAAAATGATGAATTGGTTGATGTTTTTTATGTGCCGCCAGAAACAGATGAAATTACAGATGAGGAAAACTTTGATGAAAATATTATTGGAGAAGAGGGATTGCAGACGGATAATGCAGGAACGTATGAAATACAACCAATTATAGGTAGTGATGATGATTTGGAAGATGACGTTTTTAGTTTTTTATGTGAAAATGTTCAAAAGTAAGCTGGATGCAAATGCACTTTACACTGTGCACACAACGAAATCTCAGCTAAAATTTCCTTCGGATTTAGCACTCTCTTTAGATACAGAAAACAGCGATGTTGCTTCAAATACCGCAGTATTCAACTGAACCCATGGAAGACCCTCTCAATCCGCTCTACCAGGTGAAGTCAAATTTGACAATATCGGGCATATTATATTATAGAGAGGTTAACAGTGCAAGAAAAAAGTGTCGATTTTGCAAAGATAATACTATTTATTTGTGCAAAGTGCATTTGCGTCCAGCTTACTTTGAAAATTTTCACATAAAAAACTAATTTAGTTTTATTAATTTTAATAATTGTTTTCAGCCAAAGGTGCGTATACGCACCTACGTGTTCTTTTTCAAAATACTGTTTATGATTTTTTTCAATAGTAAATTAGTCTTATTTTTTTTTTTTTGATTTTCTTTTATTAAAAAAATCATTAAAAAGTGTGTTTTTCTTGTTTTGGCCAGTAATGGGTTAATACCGGATGCCTGACTTAAAATTTACTAAAACAGCTGGAGGCAATTTGTTAAATAAATATATTTTTCCTAAATCCAACGTTGGCATTAAACCTTTGGCTGTTTTAACTGATTGTGAGTAAAGTACTTAAGACCGTGATTAAACAGAGTTTTTCTAGTAATCCACGGCATGATATAAGCTGACAACCAAAACTAACAAGTTTGTTCAACTATAATGTATGAGCTTTATTAGTAAGAACTGAGTTTAATACTATAAAAGATTGCGACATTCTTCCATGACCGTAATAATAACGTACATGCTCACAGAATAGGAAGGAATTATTACTTACTTTTTTACGCATTCTAATTGCTGTACGTAGTTGTAACAGATTAACGAGTATAATTATTACAAGATGTAAAGATATTTAATAAATTATAACATAATAGGTACTTAATCTAATTAAATACATAAGCTATAAGTGAATATTTCACTCAGTGTTATAACCAACCAAATGTCATGTTTAGGTTAATTCTGGACCAATAACATCACGACATCACTATTATACCTACTGACAAAACTTGAGTATACTCAAGTTTTATTCTAGGTAACAAAAACATCCCTATTCCTAGGTAACTGAATTAGATTTTGAAACAGTAATTTCCTTCAAGTTTCCATCAAATACAATTTCCTTGACAAGGAAGTTCTTCTGAATCAGAAAAAAATTAAATATCTCATAATACGAAACCAATTTTGATATTTTTTCACTTAGAGGGTGGGCCAATTTCGGCACTTTTGGGGGATTTTTCGTATTTTCCGAAAAGATAATAAAAGGTAGTAAAAGTTTAATGGTTTGAGTTTTGAAAAAAGTTAGTTTAATGGAGGAAACTGCATCCTTTCATTTTTAGTCGTTGTAATGTCGAACAAACTTTTTTGTTGTGAAATTATTTTTACTTTAGTAAAGGGAATTTTTATTTAGTTTTTTAAGTATAGTACTCAGTGGTCTACGCCTACGCTATATTTTTGTATAATTTTACTCAATAATGTATCAATTTCTGTCCACACCCGATTGAGTGAAATATTCACTCTATTAGTATGAGTACAACTAAAATTTTATAAGTGAAACTATTGCAACAGAAGCGAGTGAATTTTATTCAAATTCGAGTTTCTGCTAACTAGCAGGTGAGTGACTTTTGACTCTATTCCAATTCCAAAACCAATTAAGAGGTGACCATTTTCCCTAAATTTAACTATTATTGAATAATTTTTTTACTCATAATTGGTTCATATTCTCCTTAAATCTTAATTTCAATATCATTGTATAAAATCACAAACTACTAAGATGCCAG